ATTCCAAAATGTTTGCTCATTAAAAATGAAACATAAAAAACGCAGGGTTAATTGGACTGCATTTTCTAATTAGGAACTGGAATTTCTGGCTCAGATTAAAAACAACGTAAGCACTTTCAGTTTTCCTACGAATATCAGTGTTTCTACTTTCTACCGATGAGCCGGATATTGTATGGTTCTTAATTGAAGTGAAGTCCAATTACGCATTGGGTTCAATGTATACATTACGCAAGTGAGTATGACTAGATTGTATTCATGTTTCCTTCTTCTTATGGTACAAAGTACCTTTAATCTTGTGAGAAAGGTTACATATACTACACAGGAAAATTATTCAGAAAAAAATCAGAGATTAGTTAGTGCTCAATTTGACTCAAATAAACTCTGTTTTTTTTTTTCTTCTTCTTCTTTTTAGCGAAAACTATGAATTGACGTAATCAAATACCATTATTCTCTAATTAATGAGTATAATTGGGAATTTCAAACTAGTCCATCGTATTTTACTAAAATTTCAAAAGGGAACCAAATACAGTGGGGCTCAATTTCGTATCCTGTCTTGTGGCAAATCGACGGTGAAAGTCGGCAATCACATAACTCGTTTGCGGTGTCTGAAAATCTCCGCCTCTACGTCATTTTTTTAAAAGAGAACAAATTGATATTATTTCTTGAAGTTTTTGCAGAATTTTCTTCGCATTGAGAAGAAAAATCATGACAGTTTTAAAGAATTGCCGTTGAGTAGTTTTCCATTTAAAAAATAAAGTATGACAGGAAGTCTGCGACGTCGCAAACCGAGTTATGTAATTGCCGACTTTCACCGTCGAAATGGTATATGTAAAACAAAGGTCACCAGGAAACAGCAAAAACGCAAGAATTAACTTTATTTCGGAAATTGAAATTTAGCTTCGTGACGTGATCGATGACGTTGCTGCTTATCATTCCGGCTTTTATTCAGGAAAAAATCAGAAAGCGGTTTCACCAATCAAGTCCGTCAAATTAGGTATCGTTTCTTTAGTAGATTGCTTAACACGTCACTCGTCATTCATGAGCTATGCACCCTACGACTCTGTTTTCCCACGCGATGCTCCGAAAACGCGGGTCCTGATAACCTCACAACTTTTCCCTCCCCGCGGCTGGGAAGTTAGCTTCGCCCAGCGAGTGCATTGCGGCGAGAAATGAAAATAAAAATGAGAACGGAGGAAAAATGAGAGGAAATTTCTTGTGCATATACATACGTTCTCGTTCACCCTCCAGCCCATTTGTTATGCTTCAATTCTCAACTCTTCCTATCCGCCACTCTCCCTCGCTGAGAAGAAACGTCCTATCAACATACGAGACTTGCCATTTTTTTTCTTTTTTTAATACAATCTACAAAATTTGTGACCCGTATCTACGAAATTTCCGGGGAAATTCTTGGAACCATCCTAATCATGACGAAGAACTGCTGTATCGGATAATACAAGAGATGAAATATAACATTTCACCAAAAGTGATCTTTAACTTTTTACAATACAATCAGAGAGCCAAGAAATGTCTCAAAAAATCAATTTTTAAACGAAACAAAATCATCATGGAACGAACTTACAGAGTTTCTTATTGAATTTTCAGTTATCGTTGCAGAATGCATGTTTACCTCGGATGATTCTATAGAATGTGGTGAATTATTTTCAAGAAGACAGCAAATACAATCCACGAACTTCCATTTCGTGATATTACAATTTGAATCTTTTTTTGAAACTTCACTTCATATTGAGATCATAAATAATTAGAGAGGTATGTTCGTTTTTGACACTCATTAAGAAGTGTTGATATGCCAAATGCTTTAAGGACTCATACGTCTTCAGAATAATTAAAATTGACTATTCGTTGCCCTTTTTTGAAATTTTCATACAATGTTGAAGAGTAGTTTTCATTTTTAAAACACTCTATCAAATCTTGCTGACGAGCATCAGCACCCATCATAAGCTACTCTCAAAACTATTCATCCCTTGATTCGCTTAAATGAATTTTTAGAAAATCTTTTTCTTTGGACATTTGGGTCTAACTATTGGACCTACTAAAGAATACCTAAGTTTTTCCGAATTTTCTGAACTTGTAAAATGCTATTTTTTTTTACAATTTTCTGACATTTTTCCTTAACAAATTTAATATATATGTATTTGTTATTTAATCTCGTGTAAATGTTGTGTAAAGACCAAACCGGAAATCTGGACAAGTCGCGATGTGTCTTCAACATGTATTTGAAAGTGGGGTATAATTTGAAATTTTATTTTATTACTAAACGAAGAAAAGAGGATGACTCGTTGCAAAAGAATTTTTTTTTGAAAGAACTTTGGCAACATTAAAATACTCATAGGATGCTTTTTCAGAGCATGGTGGCACTGTTCGTGATGTGTGAAGGAGTGTGGGGGTCTTGGCACGAAAGAAAGGCTGTCTCACGCCTAGTTTTTCATCCACCAAGTTGGCGGATGTAATCCAGTCATTCACTCCTTATTGAAAAAGGAAAGAAAGGAGAGGGGAGGGTGACGGGTTGGAGGAAAGAGAGAGAGGTACAGGAGGAGTCGTTAAGGAGGCATGAACTAGATAAAGAGGGAAGAAAATGGGAAACCGAGGAAGCACCGAGAAGGAACATTACTCACGTTTCAATTTTTGATGATTTTACAAAGATATTTTAATCATATAGTTTCCGGATCCAATTCTTATTCCGTCGCCTTACTTTCTCTTCACCCAGTTTTTCCTCGTCCCTCCACTCGTCCTCTCTTTATTCCACCCCGTAAGTTATCCGCGACTTTTCCCTTATTCTTCATCCCCATTTTGGCAGGCGCCAAGATCCAACCCCAAAAAGAATAAAAGTCTACATTTTGCTGTCGATGGCTCCGCAGTTTATATTAGTTTTATGATGAATACTCCGTATTTGATGAATTTTTTGCCTAACCTCGGCGATTGAAAAATTGTGCCCTGCAAACTTGGCTGGTTTTTGTGATGAAGGGGGAGGGGGGGGAGTAAAATAAAGAGAAATACAAAAAACAAACCTAACAAGTGATAGCCACATAAAATAAACGATTCTAGTTTTGTTCTTAAATTAATTTTTTTGTGCTCAGATTCATAAATCTTTGCGCACACTTGGATCTTCAACTTGTTAGCTTCAAGGGTCAAAGAGCGATGCTTTTGAAGTTTTACCAAAATGAGGTTGTCAGTTGTTGCCTTTGCTTCGCTTTTAATTTTATTGTGCTGACTGTCCCACACATTGAGTGATAAGTAAAAGAATCATGAAGGAACGGGTCAATATTTTTATTAAAATAGTTTCCCGCTGTTTTGCATAGTAATTGTATCGAACGCCTCTATATAATACGAAAATTCGTGATACGACTATTTTGACGTCTCAATTGCTCTATCTGCATATAATCGAAAAATTGCAGGAGCACGCTCAGTCTCCCAAACGCTTCACTTACGTATCTACTTCCTTACGATAGGAGAGCGGTTCAAAATGAGTGTGGGCTCTTTATACTATTACTGGTAAATTAGCCATTTCGAACTATATTCTAAGAAAGTTATTTTCACACAAAAAATATATTAGGTGTTTGTTAAAATAAAACAAAAAAGAAATTTGAATAGCAGGCTAGAAAGATTGACGATGTACAGTTAATTTGCAAACATCTTAGCACAAGTAAACTTACGTCATTTGTGAGTATCCGACTAACTGGAGGTTCAGGATGAAAATCATTTGAAGTTTTTAAAAAATGTCTCGTTGCTCCCTGTTACTATTTGTCACCCAGAAAACCTTCCCTTTGCGGATCATTTTGTTTGGAAAATGAAATACGTCGAAGGACTACAACATTGCAATAAAAAAATATACGAAATTTTGGACTTTATCTACCACTTATGAATACCTGTAGATAGTTCAGAGTAAAGAAAAGTAGCAGCTTATTCTAAACAATTAAGTTAAATATTTCCCCGTAGAAACAAAGGAGTGACAAGGAATCAATCGATTAATTTTATAAGACTCAGATTATCAGCTTACACTTTAAGTCGTAGGCATTGATATTTTCCCCTTTTTTGCATGAGGTAATGTACTTAGATTTTAATTCGCACAACCAAAAGTTTTTAGTAAAAATTTTGAACAGAATTATTGTTTTGCTTTTTCACACAATACATAGATCCGTCACTCGTTTTTGAAAGTTTATCAGAAATGTAATTAAAAATTGTTGGGAAACACCTTTTGATGTTTGAAATGTGCAAAATACAATGAAAACAAATATTTTGAAACCTTAGATTGTTTATAGGTGTTACAACTCCAGTTACTTTACTTTGGTAAACTTATACGTTATGTAAATTGCGCACTTACACTTATGCTTTACGCATCCTCATACGTTTCTACTTGTACGATAAGAGACATAATTAAATTCAGTAAAACATCGGTTAATTCGGTTAACTTCGGTTAATTGCTTTCATAATTGGACGATGAGCTTGAAAAGTAAATTTCTCAGCCAGGCACTTAATGCTTTCTGCTCTTCTTTTCTTTATCCAAATAAAAAAAAATAACATGGAAAAAATTAACATCAATAGATCAAGAAAATATCAGGAAATGTCCGTAAACACATAAAGAGAATTACGGAATTTGCTGAATCAAGATTATTATTAAAATAAAATGTGTCAGGACGTCCAAAAGTCACACACCGATAAAAATGTCTTTAAAGTTAAAGCGTCAATGAGTCACTTAATAAAACTGTAAGCTCTGACATCCTGCCATTTTAATAGCCATATTGTAAGAGTTTTTTATATTTTTATTTTGAACCAAGTTAGAATATAATAAGTACGGAGCCTTACAGTACGTGTTTTTTAAGATTTTAAAATAATCGATCGAAGCCGTACCACGGTTGGAAACGTTTATTCACTGTTTATATACATTATTAACATTTACAACCGTGGTCCGGCCTATCGGTCAATTATTTTAACATTTTAAAATGGACTTTTAAGAACTGAAGGTAAAAAAAGTTATACATCACCTTGCAAAATAGTAAAACAGCATAGTAAAGAGGACGCAAAGCACGCAGCTGAACGCATTGTAATCGATTCCTTGTGAAAGATGGAAGTTCACAGATTAGATGACACAAAGCACGATCAGATGACAGTTTTTTCCGGGTGGAATATTTTTATTTTTGCCTAAATGGGCATCTAAGGTTCCAACAGCCCTAAGTATTCCTATTCTTCTTCGTTTTTCCAGTCAATTTCAAGGTGTCAAACAAAATTTTAATCAAATGTATTCACAAAAAAAAATTCAATTTTTATTCATTTTTACCCTCTTGATTGGTTTCCAAAATCAGAATGCAAAAAGGCGAGAGACAAAATGTGCATTTAATACATGTTCAAATAGATAAAACTCAATGATATTTCGCCAGATTTTAATCCAAAATGCTGGGATAAAATATGAATAGCAATATTTCTGAGAAAAATTTTGGGGACCCCAGAGACTTTCCTATGGACTCTCGAAACCCTTTTTCCACCAGAGGACTCTAGCACTTTAATTTCTCCGTTGTAACATGCAAATTTAAGGACGATCGAAGATTGATTTTCAAAAATTGACCAACAATTTCCGGAACCTATTAAAAAGATTGATTGATTTGTAAACCATCAGTCGAAATGCTGAAAAAACTTTTATATCACACGAGCGTGAAAACACACGAGGCGCACTACTCCTGAGTCTTGCCGAAGTGAACTAATATTTGGTAAATTTTAGAGCCATCAAAACTTGCATGGTAATAAAAAAGAGTGAACTGTGTAATTTTATGTTTAAGTTAAGTAATCGACTCGAACGAGAACAACATTGCAATCTCTAGGAGATGGTGACAGCGCATCTTCGAGTAGTAACAGTTGACTCGTCAGATGAACATACGATGAAAACATGCAGGGGCAACGTGACGAACAGTACACGAAAACGCGAAGAGAAACACAGACGCTTAGATACGGCGTCACCACGTGGGGCTGTTTCAACCCTTACTAGCACGAGGTTCCCGAAGCTCGCCGTGTAAAGCGCTGAACCCGCGATACTGGGATCGCGCATGCCTCCCCCCCCCCTCCCCCCATAAACCATTGCTCCTAGTTTTCAGAAGGCTCCACCGTGATTTCCTTGCGGAAGTCCTGAAAAAGGAACCTTACCTATGAAAAAGTCGTGCGCGGGATGAGCGGCCGGAGACAACATTTCAAAGAGCCCGCACTAATAATATAAACAATGTAATCAAGAGAGGCAAATGTTAATTCCGAGGTCAACTCTATTTTTCGCCTAATGGACGTAATGGTTGTATGGTGGTAATGGTCGTATTTCTATCAAACGAAACTATGTGCATTAACTCATGAGCCCTGAGACCCTTAAGAATACATGCATACCAGGACTCATGTCATAATGCGCTACGTTCCGTTTGATAAAAATACGTCCAAATGATGATTCATAAGCAGCTTGTTGAGCAAAAAATCAAATAAACTTTGCCGAATGATGACTGACGGATTTTGAAGTGGGCACTTTGCTAGGCGAGTTTTTGGAATTTGCGGTGTGCAACTATATTAAGTGCAATTTTTTAAAAAATCGAGTTATTAATGATTAAATTAGTCTTAAAATATATTTTGTGAAGAATTAATTCCTAAAAGCAATTTTTTAAACATCAAAAGTATGTACTTGTACAGGATAAACCAAAAGTCACCTAGCATCCCTCTATACTTTTCCTAATCAAAATAGAACATTGTTTTTGTAGTTTCGCTTGCGTGAAGGAACATAAATATAAATTAAAAAAAAAAAAAAAAATGAAACTCCGCGAACGAGTTCCTATTATTTAGAAGTTTACAGCTAAAAAATCAATGTCGTTACTCAAGAAGTGCGAGAATACTGTTATCCGCTTGTAAATAAACAGAGGAAAACTTATTAGATTTTTACAGTGTAAATGAGAGTGCTTAATTCATACAGAGTGTGCACAAACATAATGGTGGTAGAAAGTTGAGAAACGCTGACTCCGCGAGGTAACTAATCGCGCCAAACACGGTGCAGTCGGCGCGTAACGCATATTAGTGCCTACAAGACTGAGGGAATACTTCACACATTGCGCGTTCACCACGGTGCGCGCCCAAAGGATATTAGCGCCTACAAGACCGTAGGAATGCCTCGCGCATTGTGCGTTTATACTACGGTGCGTCCTTTGTCCGTTGAAAATACGTAATCTGTCGGTGCCGGATATATCAATGTGTTCATGCACCATTTCTGACCAGTGCACACCGCGATCCTGCAATTCTAGGATTGAGGGATCGTAGAGATTTTGCACCTCATAGTTAATTAAGTCACTGATGTCGAAGTCCGTCTGTCTTTTTCTGGTCGACTATTGTTATAGCGATATGACGTAATATCGTTTTGACGTATCGAGGAACTGGTTGGTGTGTCATTATATCTGAACAACATTTTCATACTCAATGACTTGCCGATCTATGCAATTTTAAATTGTGTATCGTTCAATAAGTCGATGCAGGTATACCACTTTCAATGGAGTTTTTAAGGATGAGTGATGTGCGGTCGTCAAAACGCCTTCATTCATTTGACTATGCAATTCTATTCCTTAACGCAAGATTAGTTGCATCATAAGTACAAGTCTATGTGCCTTTACACAGATTAGAGGGAGACAACTGGTTTAAAAGGTTGAAAACCCTCAATGGCATTTAAAAAAAACTATTTTTATTTTTTTGTGTCAATGAAAACCCCGACGATTTAAATAATTCGAGTAATCAGCTTAACGTCAATAAATTGTTTTGCAGCATGCGTCCATTAGCCTTTTCTTCGATCCTGATTCTTGTATTACGATCAGTCCCGCGGACCCCCTTTCAGAGTCAGAAAACTGCTGTTTCTAGATTAAAAGAGGCAGGCAAGAATACCCTTGTAAAGTCAAGAGAGGGAAGTGAGGCACAGAAGACCGGCGGGAAAAGACATAAATTCCGAGCAGAAAAATTGCGTTTACAAAAACGGAGAATACGTGCACACTATTCGAATTCGTCTTTTCGTGGTTTTACCTTTACACAGGTTTAAATAGTATTTTGGCATACCAGGATCGGGTTCACATGGAATTCCTGAACCTTTCACTGAAACCACCCTCCGGATATAATTTCTAACTCACAAATTTCCCGCTAAGACACGAATCCTTGATTCCACAGATACAGCTAAATCACAAATGCACAGCATTTAATTGTTCATGTACTATCAAAAGATGGTCCCTAATTTTCAACTACATGGGTCTCCATTTGCTTGAATACTCAAATCTATATTATACAGCTACAAGCAAAATCTTGGAAACACTATTTCTGACGAACGGCCGGACCGATAAGGATGATCTTTACATGTATATGTCATCTGTAGTAGATGTAGATGTGCAAAAAATTATGAAACCCCGAACTTTTAATGTTGTAGAGCTTTTAAAGCTCATGTCACTTAAGTCCAATGTTAATAGCGTGAGACATATGTCGTTTCCGCTAGAAACATCAAGGTGTGGGATTCTACCTGAGTGACTCGAATAAACAATAAAACAATGGAAAAGCTCGTGAAGGGCTCCTCATTCGAAGAGTTGAGGAACGGTGCATCGCTCAGGGTTCAAGGTTCAAGGTCCAAGGTCCAAGGTATAAGGTTTAACTTAATTTTTCCTTCATTCTTCCGGCTTCGATTTGTGGCATTGGTCAATTTACTTGATTGCTGAATTTCTACTAATATTTACAGCGGATAAACAGCAGATACAAAGTGAGAAGGCAGGCGCTGCGTCGCGTCGGGACGGACCAAATATTATTAACTCTTAACGGTCGAAATCCGATTTTTTTTTTAAAAAAAAAAGTAAGTATTTAAAAATGACATAATAAATGGAAATTTCTCCAGTAAGTGGACTGTGAAATTATGTACATCCAGCTATTCCTCATCATTTACAAATCTAAGTGTTACGTCAAAAATTTTGAAATCGATGCAGCTCGATGGTGTATTAAAATGAAAGAACATTTTTGCCAATACATATGCGTATAGGGCCCGCGAAGAGGGCCTGAGGGCGCGAGGCGCCCTACCGGGGGTTGGGCCGCGTAGCGGTCAGGGGGCAGGGCCCCCTAGTAAGTCTTTACGTCCCTGATTTCAAGGCTCAAATATCTTTTTATTAATCAGAATAAAACATCTAAATTTTTTTATATAAAATATATAGGTTTACTCGAGAGAAGAGTTAATAAATTCTGAAGAGAGGAAAAAGGACGGTTCGGGCATGGCCTGCTATGAACAATCGGATAAAAAAGCATAAAAAACCCCGTAAACAGCGCCATGATAGTAAGCCTATAATTTTTACACCATCGAGAGATAGGGCAAAATTCAACACGCGGGCATATGCCGTGAGCATTGGGAAGGGGAAGGGGATCGGGTTATCGAGTGAAAAAGTGTTATAAAAAAAGAGAGTAAAAGTTTACGTCTGATGGGGTCAGATTTAAACAAACAGGTGCCAAAAATGAATCACTCGGGCACTAAAAATGAACGGCTTTCGGCCAGTTTAATAGCTGCGTATTTAATAACGGTGACCGAGTTTGTCAGGACGGACCATGGTTTCCAGTTCTGCTGTGCGTGTTCAGTTTCGCAGCTTCGCTAATTTTGGAACCGAGGGTGAAGCAACCCGCCGCTTGATGCATGAATACTTCTTTTATAGGGAGATTGTGGACACTTGTGAGATGAAGTTTTGATTGGCCCAGCCATCTTAGGCTTCGTGAGGCCTCGATTGGCACACAGATCGCCGCACTTTTGACGTAAGAGCGTGCCAGTTCCAACGTAAACTCCAGAAAGCATGGAGTTATACAGAAAACAGAGGTTTCGTGGAAATTAAGATACGCCAAGGCGTTATTATCAACGTAATTTAATGCGTCGCTTGTAGTGACTAAGACATATAGCATTAAAAGCTCCGCTACGTCCTATCCTACCCAAGCCTCGTTTAAAAAGTTGAATATGAAAATCAGCCTATCTAAGAATGATAATATTTTGAAGTATTTTGGTTGAAAAACAACTTTAATCAATCTTGTTGCAATGCCTCTTTTTCTGAAGACGGTCATTCTCGAAAAGACACAAGCATCAGGATTAAATTGACGAGAAAAACCGAAAAACTATTTCAAATGAACCTTCCTAAATGGCACAGCTCTGATATAGGAATGTGATTCGTTAATTACTCCTACTTATGATTAATCGATGGATTTTAATTAATGGATCGATTAAAACATGCTCTACTGCCTCCGCTCTCCGCATTTGCAATTCTGGCGCTTGCACCTTCATGAGAATCACCGATTTTATATGTAAGAAGGAAAAAGCGACACTACATTTCTACCGTCTACAGCAAAAACGTCGTAACTCCATCATACATTTTGCATTTTACTTCCACACATACTGCTCTAAAGCAAAAAGTAAAAAATAAGAAAATCCAAGTATAACTAGGCATCATTTTTTTAAATTTTGAGTTCCTAATGGTATATCAAAATTGACTTGAAAAATGAAGGATGAATATTTGCTAGTTTTCTCGTGATACGGTATTTTGTCAGAAAAAAATAAAAAAAATGTTGAATGGAGACATGGTGTTTTTACTTTGAACGTCAGATTTCCAGAGGGAAGGAGCTTTGCTCTGAGAAAGGTACACCCAAAAATATCGACTGATACGCAAGAAGCTTGTGAAATAGAAACATGGCATGTCTGCCAAACCCTGTGGGTAAACTAACCGTTCGCCTTTTCAATTAAAGTGTTTCTGCGCATGATGTAATAATTTTTATTCTTCCCGGGCGCTACACATTTTTCCTCACCCTCTGTGTTGATATCCTAAAAAAAGTATTTTCCGATTGTTCGAAATTTTTATGATCACGAGAGCCTCTCATCCTGCCAACCTGGCGATTGTCCGAAATAGTAAAACCTATGATCCCCGTTTTTATTATTAAAGCCGTTTGTCGTCCTTTCAGAATC